TTACGCCTATCAGGACGAGTACAACGAGATAAAGTGATCATTTTATTTATTTATTGGAATTTGGAAACCCCAAGGCCACTGAGAAACTGCTAAAGTCAGGAATACGGCTGTCATTGTAAGGACACTTGAGGCCCTCAACTGTTCTGAGTAGATGACAGCAATAATGATGGGGAAATGGTGGGATGAGATTAAGAGGAATGGAAGAACAGAGATATTCAGTCGACAGCTCGGTTTGTCCACCAAATGCAACGTCAGATCGATCCTCACATCCAGAGGTGGTGAATGCGCTAGCCATTACAGTACGTCTTGCCCCTCCCCCAGACGTAAGAACTTAGGTATTCGGTTAGACCTGATTCGTGGCAAATGCTTTAAGCGTTAATCTGTCCATGATTCGGTTTTAATTGATTGTTTATTAAATGTTTCCTGAGGCATCAAATGCCTCACGGACTCCTGGAGACTAGCCTACGCACTAATCAGTGTATGGCATTAAAAAAACAACAACAAGAAAGTAGTTAGTGTCGGAAATCCTGCCCCCGCCGGATCTCGAACCCTCGAACCACCCGTACAGAGATCTGTTGTTGTGTTGGGAGTAATTGAATTGAATGATTGAATTGAATTAATGCCTTATTTTACGTGGCGAGACTCAGGCCATGAGGCCTGCTCTTCCGTCTGACTCCGCAAATTTCGCTACGCTCCTTTCACCAACTAGCAGAGAAATGAGGTACTATTTCTTGGGCGAGAAACAGGCGATTTCAATTTAGCTCAGAGACGTCATTTAGGCTTGAGGATCTTTTACATGCAAGTAAATCTACTAACATGGGACAGCCGGCTTTACTTCCCCTCCGAAGGAAGGCCCAACTTGGGTACAACAGTTCGGTACGCTAACCGTGCGCAGATTGCCTAATTGCGAATATGAGTAAGCGTTTCGTTTTGGATTTCCGTTCGCTAAAGCGCAGACTGCTCTAAATTCGACCGAATTGTAGTCGATACTCCGCCACCCGTCGAACACAATAGAATTACCCGGGCAGAGAGAACGAGAATGCAGCGTTCGCGCCGCCTCGCTGTCGTTGCCGGTCGGTCGGCCGGCGCGTGGGCTCCTGCGGGCAACGCGGTGCCAGACGCTGCTCGCGGCGAAGGCGGCGGCGGCGTTCGCCGCGGGCGTTCCCAGAGGGCGCAGCTGTCGCGCCAGTGGGCGGCTCCGCGCGCGCGCCGTCCAAATCCCAGGGAGCGGCGGCGGGGGCGCCGCCGAACGGAAGAGCAAAAGCGTGTACGCGCGTTTATCAGCTGACGCGCATATCAAACTTTTTTTTTTCTTTTTTACGGAGATACTTCTCCGTGTGTCGTTTTGCTAACGGGATGTTGGCGAGCAGGTACATATCCCATACATTTCGCTTTTCTTTCTTTTTTTTTATATACTGAACGACGGTTTTACATAAACATGGAGGCATGCGGTGACTTGCCTGTACCGCTGCACAGATGGCAGTGCCTCAAGGATGAATTCAATTTTCTCACGCAATTAAGAGCTGCATTTCAACCAGCTTTCAAGGTGTGTTTATATGCGAGAACGTATGCACAATAAAATAGAGGGTGTGTTGAAACAAGAGTTTGATTTCGGTTTTCTGAACTTTGCAGGGCAATTCAACATTGCCATCGGATTTAGGAATGTCGACTGCGAGTCGATAAGAGTCGTGTGAGATATTGTATTCTTGCAAACCGGGAACGCATTTCCACCAGAAAAGGAATATGATTCACCCCTTGGTGGCCAGTATGGGCGAAGTGTTTAGTAGTAATCCAATTTTTCTTTGGCCTCTGAATTCTCCTTGCAATGCCGTTTCTGGATACTTTCAAAATGTTGGTGCTGGCTGAGTTTATCTCAGAGTTAGCATTGCTCCTGATCTGTAGGGTGGTCATAGGCTTCGAGTACCGACGGTGGCGGATTTTAGACACTAGCTTATACGAATCTCTGATCGAATTCATCCAGTGTCTGGAGGAGAATTCTAACGTCACGATGCTCTGATCAGTAGTTTTACGTGTTTTCTCCGCTCAACACCAGGCGAAGCTCGGTCTCAACAAAGAGACAATGGACCGCGCACGATCTTTCCTTCTTCTTCCTTGCCCTTTCCTCTCTCTTTTTCTTTACAAACAATTACATTCACTACATTACATCCGTCGCTGTGGCGGTTCCCGCTGGCAGAAATCCCTGGAGTGAAAATCTCCTGGACGCCGACGTGTAGGTCGACGACAAATCTCACCATTCAACGAGGAAGGAACACCCCCCTTCCAGTTAACTACACAAACGGGACTAATGACTCTTGCAGCTGGCGCGCCGGGAGCAAAGCGTCTGATATATCCAACTTAATTTTCTCAGAAATGGTGTAATCACAGAAAACAACACACGTATACCGAAACGCAATTTCAAACGTAATCCCTAATTGAGTCATATCCGTCTTTTTTCTTTCCCTTATCCGCACTGTTTTTAAACATCTTTCAAACTGCGCCGTGTAAATGACCGTGCAATTTATTCTTTCCTACTTCAAAAACACAAATTAACATGAAAAATCATTCTCGATTGTTCTGATTTGAATGTTAATACTTTTTAGAACATTTTCATTTGATACATTTCTGACTTTGTATATTATGGTTCTGTTTCGAATACTATCTCCTGTTTTATAACTGCGGCAGTAAAGTAGAAACGGCTGCACCCGTAATATCATCAGACAACAGGTACAATTTTACTGCCGGCGGAAGCCGCTTGTAAAAAAACAGGTTCAACACAAACAAGTACAACATTGGCCTTCCATGTACACTAATGACTTAGAATCAATGAATTGCACTAATTTATGGATGCCATTATAAATACAGTCATCTGCACAACTCTGGAAACCACTGCATACAAGAAACAAGATACTATTTTTTCAAAGGCGTATAAAATATTACAAAGAGGGTCATTTTGTAAATGAAAAACGTAAACATAAAAGCAACAACGTAAAATTACTTGTATAGGAATGTTGAAAATTCAAATCGCGGGATAACAATAATATTTACTCCTGTTTTGTACGATGCCCATCATTTTAGGACTTCGTTTGTAAAAATATAACTACACATCTCGTTAATTAAATACATACAGAGCATTTTAAGGAGAATAATATGAATGAAACTATGATTGGCACGTTATACGTAGTTATAAAAGGTGTAACCGAAACATGAAGAGAAGGGACAATAGAAAACACGCTAATTGGTAAATGGGCTTATATACGCCCAGATTAGTCCATATTTCGACAATGGTGTTGTTGAATACAATATGTAGTTTATTTGCATACGCTGTATGCTATTGGTTCATCGCCTCTTTCACGAGCAGTATCATATCTTTCGAAACATCTGCATTGTATATTACGAGAGTCGACCGGATGTAGAAGGAACTCCGCAACGTAAAAGAACCCATTTTCACTAGCAATGTAATTATTTAAATTATTCAAACCAATAGTCATCTTGATGGGGTACCGAATCCTTGTCTCCTCGTTTATGTCCAGCTTTTCATTCGACTATTAATGTAGTTCTATCTTTCACAGGGTTAACCTTTTTCAAAATTTGAACTATTAATTATTTACATCGATATTCGTGTCAACAACGAACATACAAACATCGCGCACATTCCAAGTAATTTGCTTTTAACATGACCAGAGGACACCACGAGATTATTCCGAGGCTGGGAGAGAACCATCTCACAGAGAAGTATTAACAAATGAGAAAACATCACACATTAAATGAAATGATTTTCCAGATTTGTTTTTAAGCCATTGTTTTTACAAGCAGCCTCCAAATTATTTGTGCCAGAATTCATTATACGTCGTCCTTCGTAAAAGGAGGAGGCTTTCGCAAACCACTGGCACGGTGATCTCCACCGACTCGTTTTGATCACGACGTGCACCACGTCCCTCGCTCTGCCGTAAAGACACCGCCCCGCCCCCTCCCCCCCCCTTCCCCCCGCCCCTCGCTGCCCTCTTGACGCGCCACCCTTTCCCACCCTCATCTGGACGAACACGCGAGAAGAAACTCAAGTCGTGCAGCGCAGCGGCGTTGTCTCCACGACGACAAGTTGCACTTGCAAAACAGGAAGCGGACGGCGGACACACTACCCACCACGGCCTTCCTGCTGCAGACGGACGTGGGCAACAGGAGCGTCACGGAACTGCCCGCCGTACAGGTACACGGGCGTCATGCACTTAGCAGCGCCGGCAATGAACACAGGACCGACACATTACATGGGTAACACACACATGCGAAAGAGAGATAACAAGCTGTTCATATACACACGGACCACTGGCCTGGTAAAAGCGAAACCTTAGTCGTATGCTTTCATCTGCGCAAGATATTTACAGCATTGTATAAACATCGTGGAGAAATGAATTCTTGTAAGTTTTATATTTCGAAATAATAAACATTTTGTAATATATGGCCGAGATCGCCAAGGCAGTGGTGTCGAAGCGTTCTCGGACCAGACAATCGCGGGTTCGAGTCCCGCCTCGGCCATGGGTGCATTTGCGTTTGTCTGTAGGTGTGTCATCCTCTCACCCCTCATAATCATCCTCATTATTTGAAGGGTTGTGGGTAATAATATGGAAAGCCACGTTAGGCTGGTTTTGAGCCAGCAACAATGCTACGGCCAATAATAAACAAAGGAAAAATTTAATTTTGTTTAAAACTTTGTTTTAAAAACCACTTGGCTTCATTATCTCAAGAAACCTACCCCAAGACGAAACTTTTCGATGCATGAGAGAGATCTAAAGCACTATTCATAACTATTCTTTTCATTTGTAAATTGTGGGTTATCATGTTATTTCCCACAACCCATTATTTCATGTTCCATACCCTAGGGGATCTAGTTAAATGCTGATCCCATGATAAAATCACATGCCTCTGCCACCGAGATAATGTTACTGAGCCCCAGTAAATGCAGGGTGCAGGCACGCGTGATGCAAGATGGTCTATTTGCAAGCAAGCAAACAATCGACCAAGCACTCGGTCCTACAGCAACCAATGAAGTGAACACAAATCGATTAATCTGGTTTAGCTAGTAACATTAATTACATATGATTCTATATATTGAATTGAACTGAACCAACTTTCAAAGTGTAAGGCAAACGTCGAACTTAAGTCAGCACCTTTTCAGCGAGGAAATAAGAAAATCAAGACGGAAAATTCTGAAGGCGGCAGATCCTGATCTCCCACCTCAGGTTTAATTGTTTGTAAGGAAATTCTGTACGTGGAATGCAATGAAACTCTCAGAATGACGTCGAAGAGAAGAGTCTCACTATACGTAAAGCATATCACTTCAATTCCTGGAGAAGCCATGTCTTTATCGTCCCAGCAATACACTGTGAAAATTCGTAAATCATTGTGTTGCAATGTTTTAGACGTAGACTCGTGAGACAACTACGGTTCTAATAATGCCTTATTACAGTTAACCTATAATTTTCTCTTGCGTTCAAGGTCTCAACTACTACGGGATAACTACATATGCAAATCACAACTTCCACAAATTCCTGTCTAGGAGCATCCATCTGCCCATTCAATTCGGAAACGCCAAGCCCTTGAGTCTGACCGTGAATTTGTTCAACAGCATTGCTCCCTTACGGTAGCTCTTCGGTTATTTTCAGTGTCGTATGTGACTGGTGGCAAGTACGGCAGGCTCTACACATTTACCAGTACAGGAACTGCTGACCTGTATAACTAGTGTTTGCGTCTTCTCCTGCCCCTAGACTGAGTGGCTCGAGCGAAGAAGGAAGCTTTTAATAGCGGTGGACGCGACTCAGATAAAGACTAGCTCAAACGTCGTCTTCAGCATCACAATCACGTTCCCGCTAGGCATGCAAGTGCAAAAATGGACGAGGTTGCCACTCCCTCCATCTACATCGACTGTGCAAGCCAATAAGGCACGATGCGACGCGGACAGAATACGCCAGGAGTAATTAAAATAGTAATCGTTACAGAAGGCGTAGACATCTCCATGAGGAATACGAATCTCGTGATATCTGATTGCGTCAACAAGGAATTGAGATTATGAAAGAAATAAGAAGTACCTGATCGGAATAAAATTTAAAAAAACTATTATTATTCATTCATTTGGATCTTGCTGAGATAACTGGTGATGCACACTAGAAAATTATTTCATTTTCATACGTCACTGAGAAGGGGGAAACAATGTATCCAAGAAAGCAATTAGAGCTTTGGTGCTCCATAAGCACATTACAAAGAATAGGAAGAAAGCAGAGAAATTTAATGTAAATTAATAATAAAAAATATTTTAAATTTGAAATATAAAGCCCGAAATTTGATATACTGACCACGTGCATTGACGCTCCACTAGTTTACTCTCAGTCTCACGTTGAATACAATTCGATCATTTCAACGGGACATCTCTTCGTAACAACTAGGATTAACACACAACCTAGAGAAACAAAGGAACATTGTGGAGTAGTAGTCAACGTACGGCACCATGATATGAGATATCATGTTACTGGAGACTTGAAGATGGCCTACAGGGCAAAATGAGTAATTCTAATTTAAAATCAAAGGCAACGAGCCATTAAATAATTTATTGACAGAACGAAATAGTACTGTCTTGGAACATTTACTAAAGATTTTCGACCGAATTCATAGTAATGTTCCCGCTACAATTCTTTTTATAATTACTATACATCAACTGCTACTCGTAATTAGCAGCTTTATGCTTGTCTTCGCCACTAACCAAGAACATAATCAGCCGTGGTTGCTAATTTATCTCCTTCAAATTTCGAACACATTTCGATGTTTTCAGCTCGGATTCAACACTTTGAAAATCGCTGTATAACACTGGGCGATTGTCATACGAACACAAAGACAGGCAAGATAAATTATTCTGAAGGAAATTGGGAGCCATTGATCTAAGTTCACCTGCCCGCGGCGACAAAGGTTATTTGCATGTCCATCGACTGAGCTACTCTTGTCAGGAGGGTCGCAGAGACCAACTGCTCTGAATTTTGGTGCTTTCCATTATTTCACAATATTTTTTCGAATACAGATTAATGGAAATTGGAATAACTAAATGAAGAAATTGCTCATGTAACCCTGCTTATGCGGGTTCGTGGCTACCTCTTGGGACAGCGTGGTCGATTTCCACTACGCGACCTGGGTTCGATTCCCAGTCGAGCCAAGATAATAGTGTGCGTTTTCCTTGAAATGTCCCAGTACATGTTGCTGAGTGACGATGAGAAAATTCACTTCTCAGGTTGAGAAAACCGGAATACGGCGTGGGGATGTCTACGTGTTAACCACACGTAACCTCCTTAATCCACGTTAAGTACATACATCCCTGCTTATACATATATTGCACGAAGAATGTTTTCCAGTTATGTCAAATACATTAAGAACGTGAAAAAGTTGCATTATCCAAATTAAACGAATGCTAAATTTTCTCGATTCCATTCCTTAAAGTTCTCAAATCTGGGATGTATGAAACTGTTCATACAAACTAATATTAAAATTAATAAAATTAATGAAATCTGTGAAGATTGAATAACTATAATGCAATTATTAAATTTGGAACACACTTCCCTGAAATTAAATCGGTCAATAGAGATTTCATTATCTTGATTATAAAAGTGTTAATGATGGCGAATTTAAGAAAACTTTAAAAGATTCATAGACATGGAAGCATTTGCTTGGATTCGAAGAAGTATTGTACACGTAAAGGAAAAAAAAAGTCAATGCACATTCTTTGATATCCCTCCGAATTTTTCGAATCAGAGACGCCAATGACGCAATCTATATTTTATGAAGATACACATCAAAAACGAGATCACAAGTACACGCGTAGCTGTTAACGCAACACATTGCTGTCCCAGGGCCATTACCGCAAACGAGCGCTTCCATTCATTTAGCAGTTAGCGGCGAGAATGCCTCGTGACGGTGCGCTTAAAAATAGATTCCATTGAAGTGCGCTTTGCTGCAAATCAGCATTGCATGTTGTGTAACAGCCAACACCCATCATCTTCTCAGCTCTCTTTTACTTTCGGTGACTCACAGACTACTCATTTTATCAAGAACAAATATTCGTTTCACTCACGTTTTATCGTACGTAAATTCTATTTCTATAAACAAAAATAATTAAAACATAGAGAGTAAATAATTCTATAAATATCATTACAAAAAACTTGTTTTTCCCCTCTCAGAGCCAAGCTTCAACGAAGCTGTACCCTTCGCCCTGTCTGGCATTCCATCCATCCTTACCATCCACCCACTGCCTTACCATTACCCCCTCTAGTTCACTACGCCGGGACCCTACTCTATCCTAACCAGCCCGCTGTGTTAGTATGGCCCCCAGCTCTTAGGTTATCGCCTAGTCCGCTGTGATGCGTAGATCCTTAGCGGAATGGTGGTTAATGACAGGAGAGGTAGTGACTGATTGATGGAACATAGCGCGGAATGCAAATCAGCAAGGAAAAACGGGAGTACCCCGACAAAAGCAACCGAAGACAAATTCCACTTGTTAAACTTGCCTGAGCGAAGAGGAACCCCTTAAACTACAATGAACCATGTGCCCCCATCCTACAAATGTAATTATAAGATATGGCGTTAGTTTACAAATAATCGCGGTATTCTCCAAATTCACAATTTGTAGATTAGGTTCCAACGCTCACTTCGGGCAGAGTAGATGGCGTTTGCGCACGAAGCGGCTTTCTTGTTTGGCCCGCTACAACCTCGTCACTTCAACACCAACGGTTTGCCCTCGCGCACCCACCTTCTCTTTTCAGAAGATTGCGACACTCTTCCTAAACTTCTGTCACGACCGCAACTAAACCAAATGAACGACCTCTCTGCTCTGTGGTGAGACGTAGTGATACACACTTAACCCCAATCTCCAGTTTCTAGCTTTAGCCCACCCACACCCTCAAACGATGTTTTTCTGCATTTCTGGCGTTAAATATTTAAATAAAAAAATATTAAAGTAAGACAGTTAAATCTGAAAGGGCGTGACTCAACACTGACAAACTTACACAAATTGGAAAACCTCAGTAAATCGAAACATCGTTGTTTTCCTGGTGGAATCTTACAAAAACGAAATATTAAAAAGTCATTGAACAGATATTTTAGATCCACTTTGTGAAATGAAACATTTGACATTCGTAAATAATTTCAATGGAATTCCATTCCGAAGTATATTCATCGTTAGAGGTTGAAGGAAGTTAACAACCTAAAAATTAGATTCTTTTATGATATTAATCTTATACTTATCAAGGCAATCTGAAATTGCTTGACGATTATCTGTAAATTGAAAAATAATTGCATAAACGAAGAACTAAGCCGGTATTATTCGAATTTCTTTTAATTTCTTATTAACTCAAGCAACTAGCCGAGTCAAATCTTCAGTAATTCAAACCAATTTGTCCTACCTTTTAGTTTCAATTTGGTTTAATTCGATACATAAAATTACAGGTTCCATTTTTCGTGCGGTAGAAAATGTAAAAATTTCTGAAGTATCTAATTAAGAAAATTTTTTTAAGTAAAGTAAGAAATAGTTCATTACTTTATATCTAGTAGCATATTCTTACTGTTCTCCAAGAGTCGAATGAAAATAGTACCGCTGAGTGAAATTTCTGAACGAAGAAAGCATACAAACAAATAATAGGTAACTGATAGAGAATACATCTTGTTAAAGGTTCGTGTATTAAAACAAGACATCGGCAGCCCGCTCAGCAAACACGTGTGTCAATAAGGAAGCAGGACAACAAAGAGATGCATTATTCAACAAAGTATCATTGAACATTTCGAGGAAATTACATAAAAAACGGGCCAGTATTTTTAAATAAAATGAAGAAACAGACAATGCCTGCAGTGAATGAAAAACTAGATAATTTCCAGTTGGTCCTACATTAATAGCAGGTTGATTATCCTCAAACTCTCTACAACATCTTTCCCTTTCTCTGGCCTGACCGTAACCTACACGTGTGACATCCTGTCTATTCCATTCCGTTTTATACACGAGAGCGGTGTTCCTCGTCCTCTTTGAAGGGCTTGTCTGGAGTTCATTGACCTTTTGAGACAATAGCAGAAGGTGCAAGAAGAGGAAATAGGAATAATGTTTCAGAAAGAGAATAAACGCAACAAATCGCATGAGATGTTGTGATAAACTCTGCTAAAAGGAATAAATGAGAAGAGGTACTTCGTTAACGCACAACATAACAGGAAACAGGAAATTGACTGGGCAATTAATCAGATGCTTCCTCTTTTTTCTTTCGATTTTTAAGTTTTTAAGCTATTTTGTGAACGACAAAAATATACGTACAAAACAGCGCGAACTAAAAAAGAAAGTAGTGTAATCATCGTATTTATCAAATCGAAAGGAAATGAATCCAACGGCAGGCAATAGCATGAACCGGATGCGACGCGCGAGAAGAAAAAGAAGGAAACGCGAGGTGAGACGAGAAGAGGAGGGTGGTAGTCGCGGAGGAGGAAGCGGCGGCATGTGACCTGCGTGTGGGAGAAGTCGGAAGTGCGTAAGGCCGTGCGTACAGGCAGCTGGGGGAGGGAGAGGAGTGGGGCGGAGGAGGGGACGGAAGAGAGGGAAAAGGAGCGTCCGGGCACCGCCCCCGACGCCCGACCACCCACGCACTGCCCGCCTACCACGAAGCGCGCGGTCCGTTTGTAAGGGTATTGCGAAGGCCCGTTTGTCAGGGTACTGCGAAGGCATTTGCGAAGGTCCATTTGTTAGGGTAGTGCAAAGGCCTTTGCGAAGGCCCGTTTGTTAGGGCACTGCGAAGGCATTTGCGAATGCCCGTTTCTTAGACTACAGAAAAGGGCAATTTGTTAGGGTACTGCGAAGATATTTGCGAAGGCCCGTTTGTTAGGGTTGTGCGATGGCAATTGCGAAGGACCATTTGTTACAGTACTGCGAAGGCACTTGCGAAGGCCCATTTGTTACGGCACTACGAAGGCATTTGCGAAGGCCCATTCGTTACAGTACTGCGAAGGCATTTGCGAAGGCCTATTTGTTACAGTACTGTGAAGGCATTTGCGAATGCCCTTTTGTTAGGGAACTGCAAAGGCATTTGCCAAGATCCACTTGTTAGGGTACTGAGAAGGTACTTGCGAAGGCCCGTTTGTTACGGTACTGCGATGGAATTTGCCAAAGCCCATTTGTTCGACTACAGCGAAGGCATTTCCGAAGGCCCGTTTGTTAGGGCACTGCAAGAGCATTTGCCAAGGCCCATTTGTTAGGGTACTGCGAAGGCACTTGCAAAGGCCCATTTGTTACGGCACTGCGAAGGCATTTGCGAAGGTCCGTTTGTTAGGGTACTGCGAAGGCATTTGCGAAGGTCTCTTTGTTAGGGTATTGCGTAAAATACGTTATTCAGTAGAAACTGTATTAACTCATATAAACCAAACAACAAATTTTAAAATATTGAGTGTAGATAATTACAAAATACAATGCGCATAAGAATGAAAACAAATAAATTTTGGGGTAATACAGTCGCACACGAACCAAACATTTTCCGGCAACCAAACATTATTTAAAACATTTTCCGGCTGAAATCAGCTGAGAGCGACTCTTAATGGAAAGGTGAAGCCGCTGAGGTCTGCCAGAACGATTCGAATGCTACGTTTACTACTTGAGGGATGCAAGACGTCTACACGGGAAAGGCTTCCTCTTCCTCCTGATATTGCTCCATATTGTGATCGTCTCATTCGTAATTTATCAATTCCCTTATCAATCAAAATCTAGTTTCTTCTTCGACCATGTACGAAATATTTAACATGTCTGATATTTCCTTGAAAGTGGCTGTTTAGAAGTTTTCTCAGAAAAAGGATAAAAGTTCGCCATTTAAAAAACAACTTGGGAGTGGCCCATAAGAAAACATCTTCGCGATCTGGTTGTTTAAAGAACACAGTAAGGAATTTATTTTCTTCAGAGTGCGTAGAAGATAACGGCCACATCAATTCAGGAATTCATTTTGGCGTAAGTGGTAAGTGTGTATCCTGCCTTCGAGATGTTATCTCGTTGGAGCTCTTCACTGGGGCTCGCGTTTCCTCTTTCAACGCCTCCATGGTTTTTTTGATAAAAACCAGGCGATAGATGTAACATGGGTATTAGCTTATCTTGATTCCCATATAATATTTTTTTTCAAAACCGAGTTTTTGTTAGTTTTGAGCATATAGCAACCTTGCAGAGAATACTGGACTTGTAAGTTTATATTTTAGTAAGAAAATGTTTCAAATACTTTTATCATCAAATGACTTGTTTGTCCTGTCCAAGATAGGGGCGTTCTCTATTATTAAGTATATGTGGGTGTTCCGTAAGTTCTCATCGCTATATGATATACACCAAAACTAAACAAGTTCCTTTTCGACTTTATAAAAGCTGGAGCCAAAAACTTGAATAACCATTATTGTTAGAGGGCTAGTAAAGAACAAGTGTTAACCAAAAAATAAAATTCGGAACATGGCTTGAACACAATGTTAACCAATCAAATCAATAATAATAACTATTTTAACTTATCCTGTCTTAAAATGCGAATGTACGACATCGATTAATCGATTTAGTAAATAAACGATACAGTTTTAAAGCGCTTCGTTCGAACAGCACAGGTATTTCAACATTATGAACTATTGGAGCCCTCCCAGTTAACTGAAGAGTTTGATGTCTGCTACTCTAAGAAATGTCTCTAAATGGCGGCTGATTATATGAGCAAATTATGTTCCTAAGATATTTGTAATTGAACTTTTTTTTAATTCTACTATGAAGGTATATAATTCATTAATCGAAAAAACGTGCATTTAGCGAGTATCGCACGAAAATAAATATCGTGTTTCCTGCAGCATGTTCAAAATAGAGTAAAACCATTTTGTGTTTGCGTTATAAAACAAATTTACGAAATTTTATATTCATAATTATTGACAAAATATTTCGTAAGAGATTAATGCTTTTCACACGTTTACACAACCTTTAAGCCAACGCATCCACTTGCGAAGGTGCACAGTTTTTTGGGAACACCTCTTCTTTTTGCAAGTGTATTGGTCATTACTCATTGTACCGTCAGTTAAAGGTAACGCATTGATGGATTGGGTCAACCGGTCAGAGGTGGGTTCAAGACGCGAAGGCGATGCATGGGTGTCGCTCGGTGGGCCGTTTTCTTGGGGTGGGGGGCGGGGTGGGCGCGTGGTTCGCGCGGTGGGCTTCAGCAGGGCTTTGACCCCTCGGTCCTCAGGCGATCACGCGACCGCGACGACGTTTTCGTTCAGAACGGCTTCCCCTCTATTCGAATAAAACCCAGCTCGTAATGTAATTTCGGCTGTTATGTATTTGTTATTTCTGTTTCTTCGTGTTATCTTATGTCATTTAACAGTTCTCTGAACGTCATTTGGTGTGAAGTGTGTGTGTGGGGTGTGTGTGTGTGCGCGCGCAGCGCGACGAGTGTGTGTGCGCGTGTGTGTGCCGTGTGTGGTGGTGTGCGTGTGTGTGCAAGTGTGCGTGCGTAGTGTGTGGCAAGTTCGTTGTAGTGTGTGGAGTGTGTATGTGCAGTGTGTGTGTTGCGGTTGTGTGTGCGTGCGAGTGGTGTGCGGGTTGGTGTGGGTCGCGAGTTGTGTGTTGAAGCTGTGTGTTGTGCAG